CCGTGAAGAGAGAAATTTGATCACCATAAAAAGACGCGTCAGGCAACCGACTTTTTTCTTTTTCTCATGATGCCTCCAACTGCATATGATCTTAAATATCCTGTATACACTCTGACAAGGGAAGGTTATCCTGAATTGACAAATGTATAATTTTTTGTCTTTAGTAGAGATTTCCAAGATTCTATTTCTGAAACATTTTTTTTTGGATGAAGACAAATAAAACCATCTTGATAGTATTGAATTTTACAGTAAATATTTGCCAGCAGAAGGCATGATGAGATTACATGAAATTTAAACCAGTTATATGCTTAGTATGTTTCTTCAGCTGTAATTTGACACAGTCATCAAATGAAGAAATGGGCAGTACGCCATATCTTGATGCTGGACACTTCTGTGTCAGGAAGGTGTAGTTAGTCTGTTTAATGAGAATTTCAATAATTATCGGAATTTAGCAGATTATCATTGGGGATTTGAACAACTGTCTTGAAAAATTTTGAACAGCCTGAGTAGATAAAGGAATCCTGGAGTTAGAGTGGAGAATTAGTAGTACAGACTGACCACTCGACGCAGATAACTCTAGGGAACAATTATTGTGTTAATCCGCCGTAGACAAGAAGAACATTGATTCTCAGGATACTCGATAGGCAGAATTTTGAAATTGATAAGGTCATGGTTAAAGTTTACACAGGCATGTGGGAGTAAAGACAGTGATTTAAAGAGGCAGCCTTGTGTCTTAAATACTTTCAGTGGAAGCAGATGCCACTGCAAATATTCAGGTCTAATAATTTCCAAATTTGAAGTCATGCATGACGGGTTAGCACGGGATTGACGCCTGAACTGGCTTTCACTGGGATTAATCGAGCTTGCGAAAGAACTAGAAGAAGTGTGACATGTCACGCCACTGTACTAAATTAATAATTGAGAAGATTTATGTTGAGCCAACTAAAATTAGTAAAGAATTAAGAGATTAAGGTCTTATTCTTTGAGTTTTACACTAATTTCAATTACGCGATATGGACGGCGTTATAAGTTGGGTGGAAATGATTCGGCCGCAATGGGATGGTCTCCTGGAGGTGGTACGATCAAATACTTACTTATTGAATGCCGGGCGGGATCGAATGAAGCATTAAATGACATCGAGAAA